CATCACCCACCCTTATGAGTTTGACTTTTACCTCTGTAGCCACGCTGGAATCCAGGTAAGCCTTTAACAACTGACGCAGACTGTCAAGAAAATTGCAGTTTGAAAAACACTGTTGAGGAAAAAAGTAGAACTTTCCCAGAGATTTCAGTTATGATGAAAATGTTTGTTTTCGTTACAAGACGGCTTTTAAAAAACAAAGCTCTGTTTTCGGTTAAATCTCTGTGATCTGGTGCACAGGTAGTAACAAATTCCACTCACAAAAATTGTAGTTTTAAAGCATGATGACTTCAAAGTTCAGCAGCTTTTTTGCATGAGGCACCATGATGATATTTATAGTTCTTTAGCTTGTAAGGTTGCACCTAATGATTATGTTGTTACAGTTCAGTGAGAGAAGTCAAAACACTTTTTTTTTGTCAGTGTTTTGGAGACTGGTTCCAGGTTAAAATAAAGTCTTTTGCATGTCCATCCATATGTGTTACCTTCCATTGTATAGAGCAAATCATTACACCTGTACCTGCAGTGGCCCAGCTCCCGGTCCAAAGCCTTTTTCATGGCCTTGAATTGCACTGTGTTACTGACTGACACTTCAGCAGCACCTGCTGTAGAGGGGAAACCTGTAACCTTTCCATAATGGCCTCAAACAACCAGGCCTCCCTGCTTATTTCAGCTGCTTGCTATTTGTCCTGTCTCCATGGAGCTGCTTTCTCTGGAGTGCGATTTACTCCACTTTCCTTCCTCCAGGGTACAAGTCGGCCTTCCCACTACCACGTCCTGTGGGATGACAACTGTTTCACTGCTGATGAGTTCCAGCTCCTCACCTACCAGCTGTGCCACACCTACGTCCGCTGCACGCGCTCCGTCTCCATCCCAGCACCTGCTTACTATGCCCACTTGGTGGCCTTTCGTGCCCGCTACCACCTGGTTGACAAAGAACATGACAGGTTGGGAGAAAGTCTTTTTAGTTTTATTTATTTACATAGTCAACCTGGGTTTGTGTTAGGGGATGTTGTAAGGGCACTGATTCTTTAGAATTCATGAACAGGAAATCGAAACGGAGAGATCTTCAGTCATGCCAGGTGGTATTAACATACCTAGATAATAAGCTTGTTTTCTTGTTTCCTTGTCTGGTGTTTTGTTTTCCTGCGGACAGGGCGAGGGGCAGCCACGTCTCAGGGCAGAGTAATGGCAGGGATCCCCAGGCCCTGGCCAAGGCTGTTCAGATCCACCACGACACACTGAGGACCATGTACTTTGCCTGAAAACCCCCCTTGACATCCCTCCACCTTTCTCTGTCTCGCAGCCACTCTTAGTGTCCAACTGCTGTCAGCCATGTCTCAACCCTGTACTGGTGCAATTTTGGCAACTGGAACTCGACAGTGGCTGCGTAAGGATGTAATGAGGCAGAGATGATTTACAGTCACATTATGCAATTTGAAACCAGCCAGTCGTTTTCTGTGCTCCTGCCCATGTATCTCTCTCCTCTGCTGTATTTAAATCGCCAAGTGATGATTTTTATTTTATTTTTTTTAGCTCACAAGTTGTGTCCTCGACTGAGATCTGTAAGCAGCTCAGACTTTTAATTTGCTGGGTATTTTACGTGTTTAAATAATGGCAAAGCAGCCAGAAATATGAAATATGAAAAGTGATGAATACGTCTTGGTGCACAGGTGGACGCAAAGCAGAACTGGTGAGGACCTGGTGTGAGCCTGATGTTGCAGGTTTTTTATTGTAGGTGGTTTTACATGTTTGTGTGTTTTCACCTTTTTAGATATTATATGTGGCGTTTTCTGCAGTGGCAGTCGCTGCCTTTGCAGTTACTCTCCCTTTAAGCCAGTGGTTCCTCACAGTCATGCAGCCAGACAATAAGAAACGTAACTGCACAGACACTGAATGAAATGAAACTTTTTTTAAACAAAGCCACGTACAACTGTTCTTTGAGGCATTGTTTGTTGCCTTACTGTGAGGCGAGGTGCATTATGTGGACTGTTAGTAAACAAGGCCACAAATAGAACAGTCTTAAACTTGTGTCCCTCTTAGTCCAGCTTGGTACAGACTGTTATACCAAACATTTGTAGTGTGTTTTACTCCTCTTACTATTTATGAGTTTGTTTTGTATTTCATTTCTGGCAGGCGAGCCAAGTTTTTCTTCTGTCACAAACCTTCGGACTTTCCCTCAGCTTTTACAGAAGAAACTGACCAGTTCAGTTTAGTGCAATAAGGTGCAGAGAGCAGGTTCGGTGCAGAGTGTTTTAGATGAGTATTCGTGTGCTAAAAACAGTTTGTTGAGAGTGAATTTTGGCAAGTGACAATGAACTTGGATTCAGGAATGTACAGTATTTGACATTCTTGTGAACAAGTAGAATCAGTGTGGGTTGGAGAGCTGGAGAGAGTTTTGGAGGAGGTAAACCAAGTGCCTGGTTTGTGAACTGTCTGTAGGATGGAAAGATTTTAATTGCATGTTGCTTCAGGTGGCTCTGCTAATGCATTTAACATGGACGGCCTCTGATAAACACTGCAATACACAGGATTGTAGCTGATCTGAAGGATGTGTGTGTGTGTGTGTGTGTGTGTGTGTGAGTGATTATTTTTGTTTTGTTTTTTCATGATCAGAATATAGAATAATTACATTCATGCCGACTTGAAACAGTTTGATTCCTCCTGATCACAAAATAATCTCTGATAGAAGATGTTTGTGCCATCGTCAACAAAAACACAAAGATCACATTGGTTATGAAATATTACTGTGTTTTATCTCCCACAAAATAATTGGTTCATAATCACAGATAAAAAAACAAATGACCTCATTGAATCAGATTCCATAGGTGTCTGGGACTTGAGTAAATAAATCTTGTTTTCTTGTACAATTTCAGTAAAGCTTTCTGACTCACTGCCTATATCTCTGGTCTGTCTGAGATGAAAAACTAAAGTTAAACAAAATGACAGTTCAGCCTGATTATTCAGCTAAAATCTAGTTGTTATATGAGTAAACTGAAATTTCAAAATATTCTCTACATATTTAATTGGGTCTTCAAATAATTTTTAAAGGATTTTTGTGTTCAAGAGGAAACAAAACCTAAACAATCAAATGTCGGTGAAGGCCGACTGTTGACTCGATGTGTCCTCACACGGTGCGCTGGTAGGACTCACAGTTTGCACTCTTACTAAGATCAATCAGAAACTAGTTTGATATTCGTTTAATAATCTCAATCATTTCTCAGACAAAAACGGTGCTTGTTCCAGCTTCTCAAATGTGAGTGTTTTCTGCCTTTTGGGTCAAACGTGATTGTCAGTGAAATATCTTTGGCCAGACAAAGCAAAACATTTGAAGACTTCTCTTTGGGCTCTGGGAGGTTGTGATTGGTGTTTTGCCATCGCTTTCTTTGATGTTTTATAGATTGAAGGATTACTTGATCATGAACTGATTGTGTTTGTTTTCAGAGGGAGTCTGGGCTGGGAGTCACTGGGAATGTTTCACTGCCAAAAATAGTTCCACTGCTTAAAACTGACCACACTTTCAAGGCAGCAGTTCTTCAATTTTGGATGAAACAATGTCTTTTTGCTGGCACACTGTGGACTTGCCAGTATGGAATTACACCCAAATAAATATTGACATAATCATGTGGAAGTAAAGCTACTTATAAGAACCCAGAACGTTTGTTTCTTCCCACCTTTGGGTCACTGTGACAGTGCTGCTCTTTTTGGACACCCAGCCCAGCAGCTTGCCTTTCTTGGCCTTGCAGTGTAGTTGGATACAGACAAAGCCAGGTTTTGCTACTTGGACCAAACCGACGTGCCTGGTCAGGGAGGGTGGGCAACATCATGCTGAAAGGGTCTTTAGTGCCGCATGTCACCAGAGCCAAACTTTAGCTGCTACTGGTATATGATAACATTTAATATTGCCTCAGATACTTGTAGATGACATATATAAACAGAGACAAAGAAGATGTGGTGTTTTACTGCACTTGAAAATGCATGGTTTTATGGTTGAGCCAAGATGCTGAGTGTCGTGTGTGTATGTGTGTGATTAGAGATTCTTTAAATGTCTGGAGTTGCCTGCAGTTTTTCATTTGTAAGAGCGTCACAGCAAAATGTTTCCCTTCTGTTTGTCGTCATGTTGAAGCTGTTTCTTAATGTCAGACATTACCAGCATTTGATTTTACTTGAAGTATAGTTAAAATAGTTTTGTGGGCGTGTTTAACATCGTTGGCTACTTTTTGTGCTCGTTTTTGAAAGTTTATCGAGAGCCTTACTGTGGGAAATCCTTTCCTCTCATAAAGCCTCGTCCGCAGGGCTACAGATGCCTTTTTCCTTAAGGATAAAGTAATTTTAAGTGTGAACGGAGATATATTTATATTTAAAGATACTCTTGCACACACCACTTATTTTTTCTAACAAAGTCCTATTTGAAGCAGAAGCTGTATTGAAATACGGCTTTTAATAATTGTAGTGGTCTGTGATCATTTTTCCAAATTTGATGATGCAATACTTGTGTGAAAAGTAAAACTGGTGCGTTTCCTAAATAGACCTGTTTTTGTGGGGACTGGTTGTTTTGTCAAGTAGATGAACCGTCAACCCTCCTCCACAGCCTTCTCTCCGCTTCGTTGTTTTATCATCTCAAAAGCTCCTTGAGGAAGTGAAAGACTTGGATTGTGATGGGATTTAAGACGTTTCTCAATGCATTCGCTACAAACTGCGCCAAACCTTTTTTCTTTTGTAAACTTTTGCACATTGATGAGAGGAGGAGGGTTGAACGTTCATCCTTGGACCCGTTTGTCCGTTAACAGACTGTGCCTTTCCTGATGGTGCTGAAAACAACAAGTTAATCAAAGTAGAGTCACAGCCCAGAGCGGACGCTGAGCCCTGAACCTACACGAATAAGTTTATAATGATACATGACACTGTCAGGTGTGAGTGTGAGTGTGTGTGTGTGTGTGTGTGTTTACTTATTTGTGTGTGTGATACCACGTACATATGCCAAGAACACAAAATATGCAGTACTGATCAGTTTGGAGCTGACAGGACCAAAAGGCCAAGGGGATCAGTTTAATGGACGGGCACTCTCAGGCACAACCCAAAAATAGCATTTCTAAGTACCACAAAAAAAGGGAGGGGGGGGGGGCTTTAAGACTCCCTTAGTAAC